CTGTACTTGCTGTCTTGCATGAAGGGACTTACAAATGGCACCAGGATACTGCATACCCCAGTTCCTTCAGAGATGGCAGTGGCACAGGGAAGGCTTTATTATGAACCTCTAAGAACATAATCTCAACATGATCCTGGATACTGACCATTCAAGATAATGCCATTGAGCTCCCTCTCAAATAGGAAAGTTTGCATTTATCTATATGAAGAAGAAATTTTATCCTACCAGCTGATTCTCAGTGATCTAAATGAAAAGCTGGATTAAAAAGTTTTCCATGTTCATTTAATAATTAATTCAGGAAAAAAGGAAGTAGCAGGACAAGAATATAGCTGAAAAAAACAAAAGCTTCCATTATTCTTCTTCATGGATGGACACAAACTTTAAAGACTTTGTATAGTGACTAGTTTTCACTTTGATTTCCCACAGCAAAATATAATAATCATCATCAAATTAGATGTCTACATAATTTTAAATAATGAGCTATTTTATTACATTAATATCTAGTGTCATTTTTTTCCTGTAATAAAAGAGCCCATGTAAGAGTCCTATATAAATTCTTTCAAGATTCAAAGTTTAACTTTTTTCTTCCAAAATTAAAATCTGTGAAAAGAGAAGTAAGATTAAACATGAATGTAAGTTCTTTTTTAAAAAAGTGTATAAAATGCTATAATTGCCTCCAAAGCAACATTACGAATCCAGCTGATATCACAAAAAGACAGAAATAAAAAACCCCAATCCCTCAAACTCTAACATTGCATTAAAAAGAGTTAACACATTCTGAGACCACACAGGCTGGAATACCTTAAGTCAAAATTGTACACTTATTGAAACATGTTGGAAGACAGCACTAACACTGTTCTGGCATTTTGCTTGTACTTTTAACATACCTAAACTTCATTTTATGTTAAATATGAATATCTTGGGTTTATCTATTCAAGAATTCTAATGTTCTACTTGCAAACATGAAGGCAACAAGATAATTCCTAACAAGACATGACAGCTTAGTATGTGCAATGACTAAACGAGACTGATAGTAACCATTTTACATGATAGCATGAACACAACACATAAACCCATAATTCATATTTTTTTTCCAATTGAATAAATCTGTATTTACAGGTTGCATATCACTTTTACTTAAAAACACACACCTTGTTTAAAAGCAGTTAACTCTTTACTAACTCAAGATAAGAAAATTTAACTTTTTTATTATGATGACAAAAAAAATATAATTGAAGACTAACTCACTACAAACTAAGTTGCCCTATCCTGTACAAAGATTTTAAAGCACGAGATAGTTGCCTTTTAGAGAAATTCAAAGACTGTAAAACTAATGGAAGAAGTACGTATCAAAAGTAAAAAATAAAAGGTTGCACTAGGAATAAACAGAAATGACAGAATTTAAACTTACACACACAAATAAAAAGCTATTTGTTATTTTCACACATTTTCTGGAAACAATTTTAGCTTATTTTTTGTTTCTTAGGTGTTATTTTTGTGCATAGTACTGGCATTTTGTAATTTTCTTCCCTCAAATATGAGACTTCTAGTGTTTCTTTTTTAGTGTTTATATCCTTTTCTGCATAGCTGTCTTTAAAAACCATTATCACTGTTTGGCAAAACCAGTATGACTAATGTGGCCTATTTTTAATAGATGTAAAAAGAAATTTGAGAAAACAGTAATAATTTTGGAAATATTTGCTCAATTCAAACATTCAGGGTATGAGGAACATCAAAGATAAAGTCTGTTTCAGACTCAAGTATTTGCTTTCTTTTTTAATCAAGCCCTTCCTGATCGTTTTGCACAGTTTGAAAATCTTAAGTGGTGAAATGACACAAAGAAGCAAACTGCTGCATATTAGGAAGAGATTAGGAGGGTACTTACAGGGACTAATGTTGTTTGGATGTAAACAATGTTGCACACCTTTGAGTTAGAACTTTCACAGCTTTCTTAGAAAACATTACTAAATTTTACCTTTCTTTATAATTTACTACTGTTTGTAATTAGCTGCAATGCATGCCAATGACACTACTAAAATGAGGAACCCAAGGTGTAACTACTTTGAGAACATAACTATTTGGCAGCAGCCCTACCTGGGAGAAAAGGACTAGGAACAGGAAACTTTGAAAGAAATTAATTTGAAATCAGCCTGCTAAGAGCCTATCATAGAAAATCCACTACATTTTTATAGAATTATGTTTCCTCACAGTATTTTTCATATAATTAATACAAGAATATGATAAAGCATGAATATAATAATAAGGCTTAGAAATTATCTAGAAATGTTTAAATCACAAAATGGTTTGGGTTGGAAGGGATCATCTAGTTCCAAGCCCCTGGCCATGGGCAAGGGGAGACCAGAATGCTCAAAGCCCAATCCAACCTGGCCATCACACTTCCAGGGATGGGGCATCCATAACCTCTCTGGGCAAACTGTTCCAGTCCTCACCACCCTCACAGAAATTAATTTCTTCCAGTAACTAATCTAAACCTCCTCTCAGTTTGAAACCATTCCCCCTTATCCTATCATTACATGCCCTTGTGAAAAATCTCTCTCCATCTTTCTTGCTGGCTCCTTTCAGGTACTGGAAGGCCACAATTAGGTCACCCTGAAACCTTCTCTTTTCCAGGCCAAACAATCCCAGTTCTCTCAGCCTTTCCTTATAGGAAAGCTGCTCCAGCCCTCTGATCATCTTGGTGTCCTTCCTCTGGACTTGCTCCAACAGGTCAATGTCCTTCCTGTGCTGGGGACCCCAGAGCTGGATGCAGTGCTCCAGATGGGGTCTCACCAGGGCGCAATAGAGGGGCAGAATCCTCTTCCTCGCCCTGCTGGCCACGCAGCTTTTGATGCAGCACAGGACATGGCTGCCTTTCTGGGCTGCGAGCACACATTGCTGGCTCATGTCCAGCCTCTCATCCACCAGCAACCCCAAGTCCTTCTCAGCAGGGCTGCTCTCAATCTGTTCATCCTCCCCAGACTGTACTGATAGCAGAGGTTGTCCCAATCCAGCAGCAGCACCTTGCACTTGCTCTTGTTAAACCCCATGAGATTCCCATGGGTCCACTTGTTTGTCCAGGTCCCTCTGGATGGCATCCCATCCTTCAGGTGTGTCAGTTGCACCCCTTAGCTTAGTGCTGAGGGTGCACTTGATCTGTCTCTGTCATTAATGAAAATACTAAATAACACTGGTCCCATTACAGACTCCTTGAGGAACACCACTTGTCACTGATGTCCATCAGGACTTTGAGCTGTTGACCACTACACTCTGGATGTGACCTTCCAACCAATTCCTTACCCACTTAACAGTCCACCCATCAAATCCATCTCTCATTAGTTTAGAGAGAAGAATGTTGTGGGGGACCATGTCAAAGGCCTTACAAAAGTCCAGATAAATGACATTGGTAGCCCTTCCCATGTCCACTGATGTGGTCACTCCATCACAGAAGGGCACTAGGTTGGTCAGGCAGGACTTGCCCTTGGTGAAGCCATGCCACCTGCCTGTCCTCCACATGCCTTAGCAGAGCTTCTAGGAGGATCTGTTCCAAGATTTTCCCAGGCATGGGGTGAGGCTGACAGTTCAGTAGTTCACAGGATCCTCCTGTCTACCCTTTTTAAAGATGGGTACAATCTTTCCCTTTTTCCAGTCGCAGTTACAATAATAGAGACCAGTGCATTTCACATAAACAAAGAAATAACAAAACCCCCTCCAAAAACTCAAACGAAAAAATCCAACCCAAATCCAACCCAAGCCAAACATGTGCCTTTGTTTCAGCCTTGAATTTAATATTTAAATATACATGTGGATACAGACATCAGAAATAACAGCTATGTAGCTGAATGATTACTTCTGATGCACCTGCAGATGTTCCTGCCAGGTCAATGACACCTGCAGTTTGGAGAAGTATGTTCAATTATTCTCTTCTGAAACTTGACTATTTTAATCTCTCATGCATGGAACTTCACATGTACTTCAATCAATTTGGAGAGTTAATGGCAAAAACTGTTCTGTGAGGAAATTGTATCAGCTAAACATGCAGTGCAATTCAGAAAAGAAATGACATGATTTAAAAACTTGCTTTCTTTTTACTTTTAGGTGATTGTTTCGCATTTGAGTTCTGCACTCAAGGAACAGAATTAGAAGTCTTCATTTAAGTTGAGACTCAGACTCAGCTGTCAGTAAAATTATTTTGTTTTGGTTCTAAGAAAAAGTAGTTTTTTAAGTGGTCAGGAGAGACAAACTGGTTTGGACCAATTGATGACATGACTTTTGGAATGTGGGGAATAGCATGAAAAGTAGATGATGGAGAACAATTTTGGAAGTGCAGTGAGAGGACTTCAAGAGGTGCATGGATAGTCAGTTTTCTATGAAAATAATGTAATAGAATGAGTGCTAATGCAATCTCTGGGGAGTTGTAGATTCCTTGAAAGGAATCTCCTTATCTCCTCTCTTACCATGTCAGGTAAGTACATAAAAAATTACCCTGACTCTTATCTGAATGAAACCTGTGTAACTACTGTCCTGTCTCTTCTTCCCAACCCCTGTCTTGGACTTGAAAAGAAATTCAAATTAATGTATTGGAAATGAATTGCACAATGTTTTGGTCCAGGTTTTGGTTGCAAGGATCGGGGAGCACAAAGAGATCCTGGGGCATATTGTGGCACATACAGGCCTTGCAGACTACAAGTGTATCAACTTCATCATCTTTATCTAGATACCTGTTAAACGCTTGAAAATTCTAAACATGTTGCAATGCATCTGTTGGATACAAAAGAAAAAAAAGGACAGAGACTAAATCATCAGAGAGAATTTAGCAACTGAGAGTACAACTGAGACCCCCTCCAGTACCTGACAGACACAATCACCTGTGTTTCTCAAAATGACACAGACAAAAAAAGCCCCAAAAATCAAACCAAAGGAAACCGATTTTTTCTCCATGGTTTAAGGCCCAGGAGAGAAAAAGTGCACTTATGGTAGTAATGCTAAAAGATGAAGATTACCTCACGGTCATTTAGAAGTCTCTCCAAATCTCCTGCCATTTGATTCTTGACACGCAGCAAAGCTGTCTTTTCTTTATTTAAAAGACTGGTAAAAAGAGGATAGGAAATGCAGTAATAGCAACAGATAATCTCTTTTAATCTCGTATTCTGGCTGAAACATGCATTTTCTAAAGCTAAATACTGGCAACAATAAAAGTCTGCTTGAGCAATTGTACCTAATGATCCTTTTCTATATTCAAGCACTGAAATTTTTATAAATGGGCCTGAATGTACTGATATACACAAAATCTTATTTTAGTCAAACAGAAAAACTATTCAAAGCCTTCATAAAATGTTTTTGTTTTGTTTTGTTTTTTTCTCTGAAGGGTAATTTAATTATCAGAATATTCTATAATTATCTCTTGGTTTCTTCCAGGGAAAATGAGCTTATTTTATAAGCAAAGTAAGGCTCCTTATATCTACACTTCTATATCAAAATGTGGATTTCTTTGTTGTATTCATCACTAGTAGCAACACACACTGTTCTCAGTATCACCTCTTTTTATACTACTGTATTTAGAATTCTGAAAATAGCAAATTGAAGAAAGAATAACATCCAGCTCTCCCTCTTTTAGCTGTGTAGTTTCTGTGAAAATTGTAAATGTATTTTTATTATTTTTTATTTTTTATTCCAGGATAATGCATGGGATCAAATTTGTCCTATGAATCAAGTATGAAAACTGTTTTAGCATGAAGGTATGCTTTATTAGCACAATGTCAAGTTCAAGTCTAATTGTTCTTTTGTTTTGTAGTTATGGAATATGAACATCTGAACTGTTTAGCATACATATCATGATTCCAGGCAGCAGTTCTATTATAATTAAATGTATTTTCACACCTAGCCCCAACATGAGTTTCTAACAATAAACTTCAGACTAAAGCAAGCATACATATAATCTAGTTTGTTAAAATACCCAGAGAGATTTTCTTGGAAGACCAATGTTATATATGCCATGAGCATGACTTAAATAAATAGGCTGTACAATATAAACTGTAACATAAATCATGAACTATGAAAAATGCAATTCTGCATATGGAGTGCAAATATGTAATACTGAATACAGGTCAGGAGTTCAAAAGCAAATGTATTAAAATTTTATAAATGGAATGGAGCAATTACATATGTTGTAAACACAGATTATTTAATATTTCCAGTATTTGATCCAGAAATGATCAACAAAATAAATCAATCTTTAAATGGCCATGTATCATCTGCTTGTTTCAAATAAGGAACATCCTCCTTTGCCCCAGAGATTTTCTGGCAGTTCCTTGCAAGCCCTGTATTATAAATTATGAGTGTCAATTCCTTCTAGGCATTCATTAATTCTCAGAAAAAAAATGTATGCTTTTGCCAAATTGCTAAGCTGTTTCAGCTATTTAAAAGGAAAGCAGTAACATTTATGAAAAGCTATAAAGATATTTTAATGTTTTCAAGTGGGTTTTTTTCTGTCACATTTTTAATCATGATGAAATTGCTGTACTACTTTTTTCTTGGGTTCGTGTGTTGTAATTTATTGGTATGTCACTTTGTCGTGGATTTCTGTATTTCCTAAGAACATAAACTAATCCTTCAAGAGGCTGGCAAACTTTTTAGAGAAGCAATAATAAAAGTTTCTCAATGACTTAGGTAGTGCACTGAATAAGCATAAACATCACTGTTTATGACTTAACCAGAAGTTCATGTTCAGGTTCAATTTCATCTACAGAACAGAACCTATTCTACTTATACCTTCTGAAACTATATGAGACATGACTGATCCATGTGAAGCAGTTCTAAATTTCTTTGTTTATAGTCAAATATAGGACATAGACTCTATAACATTCAGTAGCACTTGATGTGTTTTCTGTCATACATACTAATATAGAATTACCAAAGGATGTGCAGACTTTAGATTTAGTAGTTTTGCAATACTTATGCTTTTTCATCATTGCAGATAGAAGGGAATAAATCCTGTACTTCTGAAAGAATACTGCTAGAGAGGCATATATACATGTAACAGAGCAAGAAAGCAGTTACCAGACAGAATGATAATATATTCACACCTGTAATGACTATGTAAAGCAGAGATACCTTCAAAAGTTCTGTTTTGGGAAGAAGACTGACCATTTCAGTCACTGTTTTAAAAATGTTCTGAACCAGCGTCTTGGACATCAGCAAAGAGGTTCTAGCTTTAAACTACCTTACACTTTCATCAAAGAGTAGTTTAACCTGATCCAGTTTTAACTGGCAGTGCAACAAATCAGAGAGCAGCTTTGCAATTACTTTCAGATGACCTAAGTGAAAACTGTTGCTGAAAGATAATCCTTCCCTTACCACATTCTGGTAACCTGCTCTTCGTGTTGGTACTGCAAAATTTGTGACTATGTTAAGTAGGCCCTTTCACCGATCTGGATGGAAGCTGGAGTCTTTTTAAAGGGTATTTTTCACATGGATCACCAAAACAACTGGATTTACCATGTACAGTGGAGACCCACAGCTGAAGGCAAGGATGAGAGTGCTCCATTTGGTGATGGAGGGCCTTAACTGCCTTGCTGTGATTCTGAAACCACGATCTGTGAGTCTAGACAAACCAGCTTCTCACACTGCAGCTCAAGAGTTATAAACTTTGATCTGAAGAGACAGGATCTTCTTGACCGAGCGTAGACCACGCTGTGTTCCACGGTCCTGGTCACTGATTGCCTCACTCTGCATGTGGAGAAGGTGGCCTTTGTGAGATGTGAGGCTATAACTGTAGCCCCAAAAGTACAGGTTGGAGCACCAACTGAAAAGCAGTGCAGCTCCTGCTTTTTCTGTGTGCTTTTCTAGAAGAAACTGAAATGTCTGGGAGAATATTCAGTTTCATTCCATCATGCTTTTAAAGCTTAGCCAGGTATGAATCCAGGTACCAGGAATGCAGGACTTACCACAAAATACTTGTCATATACATACACATTGCTCATAGCAACCACTGGCTTGTTTTGTTTTCTTCACTCAGGATCTAAAGCCAAAGTAGCTTGGATTTTACAAGTAAGACATTTTTAGGTTACATAATTTTTCTAGAGAATGGATACTAACATTTCCCAGTTTCAGACTACCCTTTTCAATTTGGGCAATTAAATCATGTTAATGCTTAAGTTTAAATATACTAGCTACTATCCTGTTCAGAAGCTTCTATTATTAGATATTCTGAATACTGAACAGACTAAATAAACATGGTTTAATACATCACTGGGTTTTATTATTACTTCTATTCCGTTTGAAAAAAAAGCAGGTTTCTTTTTCACTGAACTGTGTACTCCAAATGCTGTAAGAAATAAGGACTGTGCCTTTCTGTTCATTTCCGCTTACAGCATGAAGTTGAATAGCCCAATCTTGAATTATTTTTTTGCATTTTATATTCAGATACAAATATTACCATCGAAAAAATCAACACAAATAGTATATGTGAAGGTTTTGTACATGAAATGGAATATATAATATAGCCATATAGTGAAGCTACCCCTTCTCTGCCAATTACAGATGAATAGTTCGGAGCAGATGGTTAATTATTAATCTAAGTCAAATTTTGTTTTTAAGTCACATAGTTAGAAAGAGAGGTATAAAAAGTTTTGCAAATAAAAGTTCTTTAGAAGAAAGAATACATGACGAATTAGTGCTCTCTCATTGTGCAGGCAAATGACCACAGCTCAGATTTTAAAATGGATTTAGGAGAGTATTGCTTAATGATTTTAATTCGAATGCTTCAGGAGGGTTAAAAAAATTTATTAAAAAAAATATCCATGAAGTGTCCAAATTGAAACTACTTTTTCAAATTTAAAAAAAAAATCCAAACAACTTTTTAAAAGTAGTATTACAGGTCAGAAAATGTAGAGAAAATTATGTATTTCTATAAATGTTGCTTGGACCAGTTCTCAGGTAAACTGAAGTAGCATTGGAATAAATGATACATATTTCACAGAATGGTAATATTCTCATAAAAAGCTCATTGCCACTCTGTGATGGGAAAAACTTATCTAACACTGTATGCCAAGTTTTATGTTTGGATGGCAATTAGAGAACCCAAAATGTTTAGGTAAGGAACATTTCAGTACAAAGCTTCTTAGTGAGTGAAATCCTTATGTGTCTTCTAGATTTGCCACACAGTTAAGGCTTTTGAGGAGTGCTTTTGGGTAAGTGAACCTCTTTTAAAACCAGCCACTGGTACTGAGAAATTTGAGTAAGTAACTGCATTTAAAATAAATATCCTCTCTTTATGAGTGAAGTCCTGTTTAATGTCTCCAGTTATTTATAAACCTAGATGTTTTTAGCAGAAAATTATGTACTCAAACTACAATTACTTCACTATACACATAAGAATGAAATTCAGAGATTTGTTTTCCCACAGCATGACAGTTACAAGCATTTATTTTCAAAAGGAATGCTAAATGTGTTATTTTTGTTTCTGACTAAAGAACTGTATGCTAGAGAGATTTCTTCTTAGTAGCAAGGAGTCATCCTCACACATAGCACTATTCTTATTAACCAGTGCTATTTACTTTCGTTAATGAGAGTGCTATGTGGTCTAACATAAATAAGAAGTTACTTAACAGAATATTTTGAGACATGTGGACCACCTATAAATTTACCCTGCAGATGCTCTGTCACTCAATACCAGAGGTTTTGTATCTGAAACATATATGCAGGTGCATTGGCTCAGTGCACAACCGTTCTGCTTCCAGAGCCATCAAGTTCTCTTCAAGGCCAAGTGCCAGCACAGCCCATGGCCTGTCTGGGAGAATTCTAAGGGTATGGGAATGAGAGTGGTAGCGAACATTAGGTGTGGGCAACACCTAACAGAGTTTCCATTACCCCTAAACAACCTCTCCTTTTCTCTTTGAGTGGTAATACACTTGTGCCTTCACATAGAACCTAAGCAGTGACATCACCACACCTTTAATAACCTGGCAATGGGTCCCTAAGTTGTTCATGCAAATAACTAACAGCTATGACAGGTGCTCAGCTAAGCACTTACCCCAACCACAACAGCTCTTGCAGCTCCCAGTGAAGGTACGGCTAAAGACCCACAGAGCTGTGTGAAAGATGTCCAGAACAGACACACTTCTCAGCAAGCCACTAAAGTATCTCCAGTTCTGGTATAGTACTTTAAGAGATTAATTCTGTCTGGTAAGTATTTTGACCACTCGTTTCCTTTCAGTGAGAAGTTGGATGGGGCTTTGGGCAACCTGGTCTAAGTGGAAGATGTCCTTACCCATGGCAGAGGGGTGGAACTAGACGATCTTCAGAGGTCCCTTCCAATCCACACCATTCTATAATTCAGTTTGACAGCCATTGACACAAGCAATCTTGTGCATTATTTGGACAGTCCTTCCAAGTGAGGAAGACATTTTGATACGGAGGGTCTCAAAGACAGCCTTAGCTCTAGAGGTAATGACACTTAATGATGAAGGCATGTAAGCTGCTCCAGTGGAAGTGAACTTTGAAGACCATGTTGAAAGGAAACTTAGATGGATCTGCAGGACTTCTCAAAAATATTATATCAAAATGGTCTGCCTGAATCTGTCCCATTCCTGTTGTAGAAATAACTGCTGTCAGAAATGACACTTTAATAGAATTATGAGGGTGGAGAATCCTGAACACACCTGTTGTCTGTAAAGGGACCACATTATAAGTGACTTTAGGCCATTTTGTGAAAAATTGGTAAAGATATGGCCCAAGAACATCCAAAATAAGATTTCAGTTATAGATAGCCTTCCTCATAATTGCCTTCCTCTTGAGCTGATTTCAACAGGACGGTCTATTTCATCATAGAATCAAGCTCACATCCAGTAGCAACGAACAAACTTCTCAAAAGACATGGAAATACAAATTATTGCAGGTTGCTGCAAAACATTTATAAGGTTGCAAGAAAGTACTGACTCATCATCCTTGGAAATCTGCTGGAACCTAATCACCCTAGGAGTATGTTCTAAAAAGATTATTGGCCGTGATCACTGTGTACAGAAGCCAATTATGGATTAAGACTAAAAAAGTAAATTCACTTGCAAATTAGTCCTTGCTGATCCCTCCACACTCAAGTGAGATGTGATAGAGAACACTGGCACTGATAACACAGCTATGACTCCTCTGCTTAGGGAATCCATGATTTATATAATGCAGAACCGTCTTTCTTGATGAGCAGATGACATAAAAACACAACATGAAAAGAACATTCCTCCACCACAGATTCTGTACACAAAAAGGAAGGAAAATCACGATCAAGCATAGGGCAGCTGTAAGGGTAAAACTAAGTATTTGGTCTTCATTATGAGGGTGCAGGCATATTGATATAACATTGACTTATCTAGAGTCTGGTACTCATATATAAGATTTAAAAAAATATATTAAAAAAAAACTAGTATTTTTAAAAATCAGTCTGAAAACAAGAATTCAAACACTTTTCCTGTTAGCTGGTACTTGTGAAATTGCTTTTTAGAAATACAACTAATGCATTTATTGTATTTAAAATTAAAACAAAACCCATACTTTGTGTAACTGTAGCACAAATTAAACCTCAACTTAGAAAGGCTTCTGCAGAATTGCAGTATTAACTATTAATTATAGGTAATGGTTGAAAGAACAATTTTTTTTAAATGGTCTTACAAATATTAAAATTTTCCCTCAGCTCTGAGATACAGAGAAACCAGGCTTCAAACCATGTTTAGTGTTTTCACTAATGCTTTTCGAATAACACCAACATTATCTGCAGAATTTAGGACTCTCCTTGAGGAGCATTAATTCTCTGAACTCATCCTCTCAAGAATATTCCACACACAAAGCAACAAAATGCTGTTTAATAAACTAAGAGGGTTAGGAGTAGTGGGCTAAATCTTTTGATCCAGCACAGCTTCACTTGGTATATATTTGCTAGGGATTATCATTAATTTACTTAAATCCCATTCTGATTCAGTTCTGGAATAGCTGGGAGTTGGACTCGGCCACAAAGTAATCTGAAATCACCTAAGGGATATTTTAATTTAAAACTTTCATCAGTTTCCAATCTGCAATCCAGCAGATACCAAAAGGTTATCCTCATGACAAAAGATTGCTTGAATCTAATGGTTCCCTGGTTAGAAATCTCTTCCTTTAACATTCCTCTCACTTATGGGAAAGTAAAAGACCAACATTACCAATTTATACCAAATTATGATTTCTCTTGTGTGCCGGGGAATACCAGCAATTTAGGACCTTTGTTTTAAATGTGGAGTTATGAATAGCAAAATTAGGGACTACAAATTGTACCAAAAGCCCTGAGACATTAGACTGTTTCCAAGAATTTCACTGGCCTATGAAACAAGGTAAACTAGGGGAATAATAGCTGTTTTTAGTTTACAAGAAATATTGGAAACTAGAGGAAAAAAACTTCTTACCAAAATATTTGATGTACAAAGTGTTACTTTTTTTGCTACAATATTTTTTTGTCAGACCACACTTTCCTTTACAGGAACAGAGACTAGTGGTGAGCACACCCCAGCTCCCCACAGTAGAATACTGCTGGTATGTTTACCATGAATGGTCACACTGTGGGGAAGATCCATTTTCTTCCTTAACCTGAGGCACTTTAAGATGAAAAAAGTTCCCTTTACAGTTAATGGAGAGTAACAGGCATCTCTAGGAAATGACTCATTCCATCCAAAATCTGAATTGCTTTTTGGAGATGTCACTTCCACCAAGGAAAGTTGACCTCAATCCCTAATTTAGGTACCTTAATTTGTAGGCTTAATTTAAGACAAATACCTGGGTATTGAGATTATTTGCAATGAGCCATTGCAAACTCCAGAAAATCAATGTTAATAATGCATTCAAGTTCTTACATATTTTAAAGCATGAAACATACACTTTCAGAAATGACCTCATCTATTTACTTCCTTTCTCTTCTAGCTTTTGAGAGACTTTTGGACTACTATGTGAATAATGAAAGACATTTTCCTATTACCATCATCTAAAACTGTATGATGCTGAGAAGTTGGTCAGTGGTCAGAAAGTTCTGACAGACAAATATAACAGCAAATCAGAGAGCCTCCACTAGAGAATAAGCTCTACTTATGCCTAAAATAACCTTTGTTGGTGGACTAGTCTATTATTTTTCTCTGATTATATTTCTTTATTTTTTACTTTTGTACATCTGGTGTGTCATTCTTTCCTTTTACTCTCCTGAATTTTCCTCTGCTTCATGGGAGCTCTTCTCAACTCCAAATTCACTTTAAACCTGACTGTCATAGCTGCTTTTCCAAACGTAAAGCCCCTTTTTCTGACATTATGAGTGAAATCACAGATACTAGAGTTCCAGCATAAAGACTGGAGTTCATCAATGATGAAGTGTTAACATCTCCCACTTTGTGGCCAATTGCAACATTTTTTCTTAATGATAAACACATAAGTAATTTCACTTTCAGTTCAAGAGAAAGTGAAAAAAGAAATAGTGATTTTAATTACCTGACATCTTTTTCAAGTTGTGTAATATGTTCTTTCTGTAGACTTATTTGAGAATCTCTCTGTTGCACAGTTTCAATGAGATATTTGTACGGCTGTTGTGCTTGGTTCAACAAAGAGTTTGCTCTGTCAAGCTGCCAAAAAAAAAGGTATTACTACTAAAAATTTTATTATTTATAAAGCGCAATTACTTGATTATTATTGAATTACTATTAGATATTATTGATTTTTACCAGTTGCATAATAATATACATCCCAAACAAAAAAAAAAGGGGAAACAAACCACCTTTAAATTAATAAGTAGTATATTATCCTCCCAATTTTCTGTCCTAATTATATGTTATTTTCACTGCAATCATGCTACTCTCTACACTTCCCTAATCTACATTTTCAAGAGTTTTAATGTAACAGCTTCCATTGATTAAAAAAAATAAGTAAAGTCAATACCTCTGTTTGTGGTGTTATTGACTGGTGACTTTTCAAAAACAGTATACTATTACAGTGGAATTTTCAGCTCAGAAATTGAATCTAGATAAAAATACAGTCCAAATGGAAAAAAAAAATCCCTTTCTTCTAATCTGTTACTCTCTATGAACAGCAAAATCCAACAAGATGCTTAAAAGACTAGTATAAAGTAACTGTCATTCCCATAAGTAGGAAAGAAACCTTTCTAGCCTTGTTCCCTGAACAAATTAGGATCACTAGGTTTAAAAATCTTGCATGATATGGTCTGCATCTTGAGCAATATAACAAGATCATTCACTAAATTATGTACAGAATTAAGATCATACAACAAGATTTAGTAGTTTCAGCAGCTGGAGTACACATAAGTCACGAAAAAATACAGTGTCACGGTGAAGGCTCCAAAAAGGCATTCAGCAGCAAGCCCACTACTCAGCTAATTAATTTCTTCATTCAGAGTACCATTTTTTCTGTATACAGACTTGCTAGTTGCTTTTTAAGTTACCCAAAGACCATATTAGCCTTCTAGACAAAAGGGACTCTATCTATCAGTTGTGGCACTGCTGTTCAAATCTCTGCAAAGGGAATTAATTCCAAAATTTAGATTGGACTCTAGATGTAGTACTTACAGATCACTACTTTGCAGAAGCTGATATATAGGCTTCCACTTAAACTGAGAGTAACAAAGTGAGTTGCAGAGGCAATAAATGGATTATCACTAGCTGAGGATCTCTCTTGGATCAGGTCATGAGAATTCCTTTATTCTGTTTGTCCTAGGCATGGTCAACAAACCTTCTGTAGTAGAAAGAAATTCTCAATACCTACTTTAACACTGCAGGTCACTGCTACACAAAGCATCAGAAACAGGACTTTAAGGAAAAATTCTTTTCTAATGCTGTCAAAATAGATAGGATCCTGCAGTTAACTGAAACCTGACAAACTATAATAGGACTAACAGAAGACTGACAAGTTTTTCTTCAGTAGCTGAGCTTTTCCATAGGGTTCCAACTTTCAAGTACAGTATATCAGACTTCCTTAAAAATGAATGAAATTATAGAGAAGTCAGTATTTTCTTCTTGGTAATGCTGAACCTTCCCAGAGGATCAATATGATTTCTTTCTGTAAAGTTCAACAGCAATTCAAGGACAGACCAAAAGAAGAGTCTTAGAGAATCCATTTTAGTTATTGAATTATTTTTTTTTTCCACCCTCCTTTAAAAAGCTAACAAAACCCAGTTGTATCTTAAATACTGCACTGAAATAGCTGTATTTAATGCAAATTCAAAACTAAGAGCTGATATAATCACTTTTGCCTCAACTTTTTATCCATTTTCTAGATTTCTTCTAAATGACTGAACAAACTGTCAATCAAAAGAATAATAATGGGCTCCCTAAGCATGCTGTAGTTTACAGGATCTCTCTTTTGTTCTTAAAAAAAATAAAAATCAAGAAAGTTACAACAGCTTGGAGTAAAAATCTATCTTGGCTCAGGGAATGATTTAAAGACAGTAACACAAGTTTAAGAACTTTAAGTATATAAAAAAAGATAATAGATAGCAATCAGCATAAAATATGAAATGCAGGAAATTTACCACAGAGGCTACAACTTCAAGGGGGAAGTTGATACCAGCAGACAAAAAAGGGGAGCAAATAAATTCTAGAAACAGTACAACCCAATATGGCAGAGATACAGTAAAACTGTATATAATGCTGATGAAAACACAGAAGTTTTCAATAAAATTTTTTCCATCTGTTTGAAAGCAAGTCAGATGATCAGCTTGTGTAACATGAGAACAATGGACTACTTTCCACTCCACTACGTTCACAAGCGTAAACTCCTCCTGCACATACTGAAGGATGGCAAGCAGTATGGCATAAGTAATTATTATCAAACAAATTACCTATAATCATATGCAAAATTAAAAAAGGAAGAAATAAATCTGCTGAAGTGCTCAGTCCTGAATGCCAGACATGAGTTTAACTGAAAGCAGGTCTTAAAAGATTTTATTTACACATAAGAGTTTGATGTTAGTAGACTGTGCACTAGCTATCTGCAAAACATTTAACTTCGTACTGGATTACATCTGGATCTAAACTATAAAATTAAATGATAAAAATCAAGAATTTAATGGCAGAATAAAAATGAGGTGAAGATGTTCTAGTGGAATTTTGCCAGAATTTGAACTAAGGTCACTGGTACTCAATCTTTCATCAGTGATCTAGAAGCAAATATAAAACTAATGTGGGTAAGAAACATATTGAAGTGAAAACCAGAAAGATTAAAGATTAAAGATAAAGAACAGTGATAGGGAGGAACACCAAGCAATAGATTCACCAATTTCCTGATGTCTGCAAGTAAAGATTTGAAAGACTACGTTTCAGTCAAATACAAATTACTATGATATACTTAAGAAGAATACATAACAAATTATAGTATTGGTTAAAAAAAAAAGACTTCACTGTTCATGTATCTTTCATTAAAATACTATATATAATCATATATATACATATGAAGTACATAAAATTCATAATTTAAAAATATGTAGAAAATTCAAATATTTGCCCAGTGGAGTACTTGGGTGTAGTAATCCTAATTTATAAATACCATGGCTTTAAAAATCAAACTGTTAAATCACATTCCTGAAATTGTAAGCTTAGAAATTCCATAGTGGCAATATGTAATAGAAAACATAGTTGTTCTTTGGTTCCTAAGAGAAAGTTAAAAGACAGTCTTAAAAATACTTCACAAAATTAGTTTGTTCTAATTCTGGGACATTTCAAGCAAAGTTTTGTTTAGTGTTTGTTCTCCAAGTCGAACTAATATGTAATTTCAGGTATTATACACAGAATTTTAAAAGACCATTAAATTAAATTCATTGTAACAAAGACTCAAAAACTGAACAATTGTAGAAAAGGATTTACAGAAATGTCTTCGAAAGTGATTTAAGAGAAAAGCTGTATAAAAAGTATCAATGTATTCATTGAACGATTAAGCATCAAACAGAATAAACTAGTCTGGCTAGCTGGTCTTCTGTTCAGAAATCAAAATGCTCTCTGTCTACCTCACATTCTTGTTTAGCCCCTAAAATAATCCCTCTTTCAATATTAGTTTCAAAATACAATAAAAACTTCTTTGAAAACTTTTATCATAGAGCTTTGGTTAATTAGGAGGCCATTTTTTTACATCAAATAGATAATAAACATTTCATTTCATGAACAGTTGTTCTGCAATATTTAGAGTTTCTACTGATTTGAATTTTTGTGTAGCAGTAATTTACCTCTTGTGAAATCTGTGTTACTTGTTCCTTCTGATGTTCCAGATCTTTTACAAGCAATGAGTTTTGCTTTTCTAGTTGCAGTAATCTTCTTGCCAAGTGAACACTGTACCAATAAAAATCAAGCTCAAGTTGAACTTTTCCCAACTTAGGCCTATTTTCCAAAATAGGTAAAAGAAATTCTCACATCATATTGCAGAACTTGATTGCCTTAATTTCTCACCAATGCTTAAATACTAATATATATCAACTACATAGTTAAACATGCTGCATGGTCAAATTTAGAAAAACAATGAAAATATTATAAAATTTAAAAGCACTGAAATAGCATCTCCACAGTTATGCCAATTGTAGTATTTTATACAAAGTAATTACCTATATAATTTTTCCGTACTATACAGTTGCAGCAATACTGTCAAAATGCTTCATCTAATTATGAGTATTTACTTTTTAGCAACTTTATAGAATCACTATAACAGGCTTCTCCTTAAATAACAGTTAAAAAAAACACACATCAATATACATTTCATAGCGGAACACTGAAAAATGTAGTATTTTATCATTTTCAAAACAGAAGCAAAATTGTTTTGTCTGACATTTAATATGCTAAATAATTAAACGTTATTGCCACTTTTTTAAAATAAACTCTTATATACAGTCGCATATTACCTTGAAGAGAAAGGGTTATTGGGACACTTAACAACCTAGTTAAAAATAAGATCCTCGATCTCTTGCACACTTCATGTCCAAAATCAAGAGTTTATCATCAATTTAACAGCACAGATCCATAGGCAGATTCAATATGCAATTGCAGAGCCTCCTTCCAGACATCTAACCTAGTCTTCCAAACTATTATTAATCACAGTATCACAGAAGGACATGGAAGGGACCACAGTGGGTCACTTGGTCCAACCTCCCCGCTCAAGCAGGGTCATCCCAGAGCACATTGCACGGGATTGCATCCAGAGGGTTCTTGAATAACTCCACAACCAGTTCTTGACAATAATACGGAATTTATGAGAGGATAACTGGTCTAAAGCAGACTGATAGGTAGATTATATTTACCCTTAAGCTGAGGCTTACACTGCGTAAAGCTAGTTGAGTGCACAAGGTTTCTCTGAAAATTTGACCAGTCATAACTTCCACCTCCTCCTCAGTAAAATGGAATACACTTTTAGATTTGGAAGAAGTCTTAGTATTCTTCATCTGTGTTATAAACCTACCCTTTCATGTAGAAATCTTTTACTTTTGCCTATTGTGAGAGGAACTACCTGCAATTTTCAATAGCTTTTACCATGAGGTTGGTTCTCTCAGTTCCTCCTCCAAGGAGCATTAGGCTGTGTAAACAGTAACTGAGAAAAACATAAGTTAATTCTCCTAACTGGTTATTTAGATTTTTGTTTAGGAGATATGAGATATGTGTGAAGATCTCATCTAGCACAAAAGAGAAATGAACCACTTCTTTGACTAGTAGCTATTAGAGTGTAAGGGAAAACTTGGATACCTTCCCATGGCAACTTTAGGAATGCAGCCCATCTTAATTTTTCCAGCTACAACTATTCAGTGAACTTGACCTGAATTTGCAAGTATTTAAGGATAACACAAATACGCCTTTCAAGCATACTCATTGATACATTTTTTGACTAGTTTTAATTTAAAGCAAAGGCATAAAGGGACTGATCTGCAAAGACATCTTATTCTGGAAACCTTTTATTATAACTATACTAGAAAATTATGCAGTGCTCGAGAATGTGATAATTTATTGTAAGCAAACCACTAGAGTCACCCTGGTAATACTCTGCATTTTCTCATTTGCACTCTCCCAAGCAGTTCCTAGGCATGGGTGAGAAGTTAGCATGGGCAAGCAAATCATTGCCAATGCGTCGTTCACGTGCAGCTTAACCCACAATGAGAATTTAGTTTTATGGAAATGGGATACTACATGCCATTTGGTCTTGATGCTTCAGAGTGTTCCCAAGGATGTTTAGTTTAGTACTATGGGTGTATAGTGCCTATGTCCAAAGTAATGAAATAGTTGTTATTGGCAAGTAGGCAAAGAAGTACAGACCCCACAATGCCCTATGCTTGAAAATGCAGGTTTTGTACAAAGTTTCAGAAACTGAAGTGCATGATGCGAACTTAAAAGAGCCTCTCATTTAGGATCCCATATATCAGGGACTAAAGAGCAGGTAGTGGACTCCAGAGCAATCCTAGAGAGCAGAAAACTTATCTGTGTTTCTTTAATGGTTCTAAACATAGAAACTTATGTCACAGAGTCTTTGCTTAAAAACTCTGGGAGCCAAAGGCAACACACACATTTTCTGCATGGCAGTTTTCCTTGAATCAAAACAGCAGGTAAACCATACACAGACTTCTATGGCTTTTTTAATTTTAAAAGATAGTCTATGAAGTGTCCAACATCATTATGAAGGATTAAATCAATTTTATTAGCCAATGCCTTTTGGAACAATGACATTCTGAATGACAGAGCCACTTCTAAGCTCAGAAAGTGTCTTCCAAGCATATCTGAAATCCTGGCCTACTGATCATCAGATTCAGTATTCAGCAGTGATTTAGCACAATTCTTATATATGTAAATAATCTAAACTGAATCTAATAAGGTGGGGAAAAACAAGGATATAGGCTGAAACTCAGAGAAGTTCCCAAACTATTGACAAAGGAGGAAGAAACTGAACTTTTAGGAAACGATACTATAGGACTCTCAACAGTCTCCTAAACCAGACCTACAACAGGGTTATGGAAGTTTTTTTTCCACACCCCACACCCCTGTTCTTTTCTTCTTCTTCGTTTTTATGCAGTGTAAAGAGAAATCTTACAAGGAAACAATCTGAAGAGGCTTAAAAGAGCAAATTAAGCCATGTTTAAGTTAAGTACTACATAAAATCATATCGACAACATTTGAAAACAAATATATAGGGCAGAAGAAATAGTAGGTGGCCCATAAATCTTTGCTGAAAATATGAACAGACCATCATTTGCCCTTAATTCTCATTAGTAACTTTTGACATTAAATATTCTTTGTCATGGAGAAGGTGAGGGTTAAAAAGACAAACCCAACTAAATAACATAATACTTGCAGTAAAAAAACAGCTATAAATTACAAAAACTGCAATTAAACCTTCTGAATGATAGAAATGTACACTGTGAATCTATGGTGTATGTTCACCTTGTCTTTATACTCTTCTTGGTGTGCCCACCAACGATGGTGGAGTTTCTCATTTTGGTCAAAACCTACCACTAGCACAATTATGCAGCTGACTTTCCTGCACTTGAGCAATTGTAGGCGTACTTGGATCATGTGGAATAAGCCTCATCCTAGGAGAACTACCATCCTAATTTTGAACAACAGCAGAGGCTTTTACTGTGGTCACAGTCTAAAAGTATTATGAATAAATCCACATTCATAGAATCATTAAAGTTGGAAAAGACCCCCAAGATCCAGTCCAACCTATGACTGAACACCACATTGTCAACTAGACCATGGCACTAAGTACCACATCCAGTCATTTCTTGAATCCTTCTTGGGATGGTGACTCCACCACCTTCCTGGGCAGTCTGTTCCAATGCTCAACAACCCCTTCTATGGAGAAATTGTCCAACTTGAACCTCCCATGGCATAGCTTGAGGTAATTTCCTCTTGTCCTATTGCTAGTTGCCTGGGAGAAGTGAGTCATAGCCACAACACATGGGTTCACAATGAGTCATTCAAATGTTAGTATTATTTCTTAAAGGCAATGCATAATATAAATTTATTATTTAAAAACGAGTATGAGCAAGAGGTATGTTATTCACCTACAAGTCATTTTAATCTATTGATCAAATTATCAAATTGGCCTAATCAGTGCAAACAGAAAAAATGTAAGTGGAATCAGATCCTGTAGTCATAAAGATGAAATAGTGATGTTCTGAAAACTTGTCTTTCCTAATTTCCTGACATACGTGTTTTTCTTACCATTAAATACAATAACCTTTACAGTATTAGTAATATATTTCCTATTATATAAATGTAAAGAATGTAACTAACCTGTTTTTACAGCTGCTTAGTTTTATACGATTAAAATTAATCTTTCTGAAAGTCAACGAAAAGAGATCTTAAAAAGACTTAGAAAAACATGTATACGCTCATTCATATGCATCAACCACATTAACAGGTCTTAGTCCTCAATCTATTCCCATATACTTATGTAATTAAAAAACCTCCTTATGTTAATCAAACTGGATGGATTCCAAGAGAAAAATATAACGCACTTATCTTCATTTAGTTTATCCTGAATAAGTAAATTCAGGAGGTGCTTTTCTTTACCTTTGCTTTAGTCGTCTTTTGGCTGTTGTAGGAACATTAGCACCATATCCATATGAGAAGAGAACCCTTTCAGCCTCAAATTCATCTTCCACTGAAAAAAAATTGCAAAAAGGTACTGTTGAAAAACAGTGCCAGAACTTATAAACTTCTAAGCAATTCTATTTATAACTCTACACATACAAAAATATTTTTCTAGAAGCTAAATTTTCAGTTGGTATAGGCTTCTGGACTTAAATGGAACAATTTTGTTCACAAATAACATTAATACAGTGCTATACTTTAATTTCTTACAGCACTTTTTATTTTTATGATTAACATAAGACATGCAATAAGAAAGAAAAGAAAAGGAGTTCAGGGGCTTTGAATATTCATATTATTGGTATGGTCATAAAATACATACTAGTAGTATAAGTTCAATTCAGCAGTAGAGGATTAGACTAAGTTTTTTTTCTAAAGAATTAATTTTCTGTGCATATATGAGGATGTAGAGGAAGATAAAATTAGGAAGTGTTTAAGGTGACAGGACATAACAAAGCCCATGGGACCAGAAGGGACACATCTGATGTTGCTGAGGAAGCTGATGTCACTGTGAGGCTGCTAACTATTATTTTTGAAAGACTGTGGTGATCAGAAATTTCACCACATTTGAGGAAAACAAACGTCATAAACATCTTCAGAGAAGGGCAAGAAGGAGATTCTTATGTTTATGCAAAGTAAAAATATAAAAAATAATCTCTGCCTCCAAAGATGATTGATTTTTGAAAATGCATTTCTAAGGAATTTAAACACATTACAATTGCTTTGAAAAGAAATCCCAATTGCAGCAAGATTAAAATATGTACAGATTTTCATATTTCAGCTTGTGAAATTCAGGTTTCCTCTCTCCTGTAAGATGAAGTGGGCCAGAAAAAAAAAAAAAGAAAGAAAAAAAGAAGTGTGTGTGTGAGTTAAAGGCAGGGGCAAAGAGATGGGGACAGTGAAGAGGGGTAAAGGGGGACCATGAGAAAAGGGGAGTGGCAGGAGAGAAGGAGGGAGGACAAGTGAACACCAGCCCAGGCAGCACACAACAGCTTTGATGAATCAAATACTTGGGAACAGGAGAAACAAATTGAGGAAATGACATAAGAGTCCTATCTGACTCATCTTTCCTAAGCTCAAGTACCTCAAAATCAGAAATACCTTCACTTCTCAACAACTTGCACAATGCTATAGCTTCTGTCCTCACTTGCCTAATACCCTCGTAATGCTATTTTAAAAAAGGATTCTTAAAACACATTGAAGAAAGATAAAAGCCTCTAGTAGAGCATTTATGATAAGTCACATATCTAGTTACGTGAAAAACAATACAGAAATTCCAGTAAGTATGACAGAAAAAGCTTACTAATGTGGCATTACAAATGCACCAGAACTTCAGGGCTGTTTTAAATATGACAGGGAACTCTCCAGTGCTGTTAAACACTTATGGTTCAGGAAAACATAAAAGTAATTTAGCTTGCCTTTGTCAATACCCTTCTTTTTGATTACAAATTCAGTGTTGCATGTTGCAGAAAAACATCAGTGAGATCCTGCCCTGTAAATTCATATCTGTCAGAAGTGTTCAGTAAATGTCAGATCATGAAAACAAGCACAAAAAAATTGAAATGTTGTAGGTATCAAGTCAAGGTAATGTTCTGTATCAGCGTGTGCTTCTCTTCTGACATTTCAGGTTCTCCACCTGACTGCGTGATGGAAAACATACATTTTACAAGTTAGCGGACACTTATTAACAACAGTTTTATACGCTACTTGGCAAAAAAGTGCCATTGTGAGGATATAGATAGGTTTGTCCTTTTTCTTAGGAAGATACTAACCATGGAAGCAAGAAAAAATCAAACAACTAGTCTACAACAAAAAAACGCTAGAGTGAAGATTTTACCCTGAAAAGGAAGACTAGATAAATGCCAAGAAAGTTTACTTTTGTTATTCATGTGGAAACCACTCAGACGCTATAAGAAGTGGGTATATAAATTCTTGATAGTTTCCTGAATAGTCTGTTTCATATCATTTCAGTATTAAAAAAGTGAGGCATAATGATGGGTTACTCACAGTACAAATTCAGTGATCTCTTCCACATGCACATTTTCCAAAGGAAAAATTAAAAAGTTTATATATTTATTATTTATAATATATATAATAATATATATCATTTATATATTATATGACAAAAGCCACCTCACATGTGCAAACACACGGTTTATTAAAAAGTCCAGAGAACCCATCCTCCACTGGCATCCCCCCATATTGTAAAACAGTGGAGGCTTTATGACTCAAGAGAAAGAAAAAAATATTATATGCTATTTAAATATAAAGAAGTGACCACAGGACTGAAGACTAATCCTTATTATCGCTAAAATTCATAGAAAGTTAAAACTGTCTTCCACACTGTCTTCCTCAGTCTAAATTATATTCCCCAGAAGACAGACTAAAGTTTTTCCATCATATATTCAACTTGAAAAATATTTCCTTTCAACTATTTTTCTACCTTTAGTTATTTTTGACATGTAAATATCAGGACATAATTTGAGACACAGGAGGAAGTATATCTGTCTTCCCCTTCAAAGTGTTTTTAAAAAAAAAATACTTTTTTTCTTCAGTTTTCCCTCAGATACTAGTCTTAGTACTAGTAGTAGTATTAATCCTAACTTTCTATATCAAGTACACTATAATAATAGAAAGTTCATTATTAAATAAAAAGTAAATCAAAATAATATTAAACCATAATGCCTTTTTTTCTCCAATGAAATCAGAAAATGAAGTCATTATATTTTAAGAGAGCAGTTAATTTGGAAACTTTTATTTCTCAAAGTCGTATTGTAGCATAGACCGTAAATTGTAATTAAAATAGATACTTAAGAAGTTAAGAATGATTTAGTTCTGTAAAATCTTTAATGCCATCCTAAGATGCATAAGAAAATGTAAACCAGTGAACAAAAACCAGCTTTCTGAACTCTATCCTCTCCTTGGAAAAAATGAAGGTAAGATCCAAAAATTCTTTATTAATACATAAATACTCTTTAGACAAGTTTCTATATACACTTCCAAAAACATGTTACCAAATAAATATAAACATGTATATAGCAAATGTGCTTATGGTCAGACTGGAACCTTTGGGTAGTCAGGCCATTCTAAGTACAAGCTGCAGTGTATAAAATTAATAAACTATGTGCAATCTAATTACTAAAAATACTGTGACATCACTGCATCTTGGTAATACATACTTTGATATACACTGTTCTTTGCATATAAAGTTTATGAAACGATCTTCTACCTGGAACACATTACAAATTGTGAATATTTTTTGAGGAGCAAAGAAAGAGAAAAGGATAAGAAGATAGTTGAATTAGTTTAGAATCTTACTCTATTCTAGTTTAGAATTGTACTCTATTTACGAACAGGCTAAAAGACTTCAAGATTAGAGTCAGAGTTTCAAATTAGAAATTACTTGCTTTGTGGACTCATTTAGGCCGAAAATCAAATCAATAGAGGTTTTACAGAAATTTTGCTGTGTTTGGGAACAGACATTTTTATTTTTGCCAATCAGACACAAATATGTTCAAGACTAATAAGGTATGAATTTAATCCATGGTTTAGTACTCAATACAGACTTAGCTGCAACAAACAAGTAGTTAATATCCAATTATTATTAATACAACACATGGAAGAATTTTCCTCCCCTTCCAGTTAATTAAAGAATTCACATTAATCATGTATTATGAAACCTATATTTGTCTGTCAAGAAAGAGGGTTTCCTAATATTTAAAATAAATAACAGCAGAATCCTAAAAACCATATCCAATTATAATGAATTATCAGATTAAGGAAAAGAGAAATGACAGAATACTGAGATGATTTTTAATAAACACAAACTTAGACATATGGATGTTTGATACACATTTACAGATACATTTAGAAACCTGTCATTAACATTTTCATCAAAATAATTACTGTCTTGTCAGGCATAAGGAAGGACAATGACAGGCACTGTATTACTTTCCAAGTGCCATGAGAAATAAGAAATCTTGTCATAATGCCAGAAACACCCCCAGACAGAGTATAACTCGTTACAGAACTTACTTTCTGCTGTTTGCAATATTATCTCATCGAGCTCTTTTTCAAGTTTTTCGTAAGTATCTAGTCTTGCTTGAAACTCCGAATTCTGTGTTTGAAGCTCAATAATGCGTGTTTCACTAGAAGCCTGAAGACTATAAAATTCCTTCGTAAGCACCTATGAGAATGAATAATGAAAATACCAGAGATTCAGCATTACAGTTACTTTTGAAAGTGGCAAAATACAACACATGTAAAATGCATAGCAGTAGGATATTAAATATTTCATGTAAGTTTTGCACAGAAAAGATTAAAATACTTTAAAAAACAGTTATTTTTTCAATTATATGATTTTGCAGATTACAGTCTCGGGTCATATCACTTATGCCTATCTCCAAAGGCATAACTAAGAATCACTGAAAAAGATGCAAGAATTTTAAAGTTAGGAAAATCAAGGTAACAACTAAAAAAATTCACACACAGCAGTCAGAATAGCGTAAATGCAATTATTTTTGTTGCTTTAACGGGATTCAGATTTCAGTTTATCAATTCTTTTAAACAAAAACCCTCATGTTCAAAAGTAAAAGTTATGAAGGCCTGTATAATAACTAAAGTTTGATAGAGTGCTTTATAATAGGAAACAACACTGACCACATAAATATACAACAAACTGGAATAAGCAAATTCTTGAGAAGTAAAGTAGTAATCTACATGCTTTGCAGAAAAATCCCACCAAAACAGGTAATGTAATAACCAAGTGGGTACTGCAGCTAAATTTAATACTAGTTTCCTAAGTAAAAATCACACACATTCAGAATGACAAGTGAATACAGATCTTGAGATACAGAAATATATGAATAGTGTACACAGCAGTAATACCAGATTCACTGTCAACACCACTAAAGAATGCAAAATGCTTAGAGAAACAAGCCACCAGAATATAAAAAGATCAGCCTAGTGTCACAGAAGAAGTAAATGTACAGGTTAAGGCTCGGCAGCATATAAACAATCTGTTTCCTAGTTAGCAAGAGAAACTACTCTACGCTCCAAATAAAAGCAAGAGTTAGTTCACAAACCAGCTGTAGTTGAGCCACAAGACACTAGTGACCACATTATGAATAAAGATTAGTATCCTAGAAGAAAGGTAAGGAAAAAACCTTAGTACATAAATGTTATATTTAAGAAAGGAAATAAAAAACCCTAAGAGAATTCAATCATAAGGAACAAAAGAAAAAACTTCAGACATCAAATATTTAAGTTCTGCAAGAACATTTCTTCATGAAAGAGTACTGGTTGAAAAGTGTCTGTCTAAAGAGAAAAAGAAGTGCCAAAAGTGTTAGTGGAATTGAAAGTCAAATATTCAAGTTATAATTACATCAAATAAATATCCACAAAAAAAATGAAAATATAACTCAAATTGAACTACATTCTCCAAGTTTCACATGTCTGTGCAATTAAAACTCTGTTTAGCAACCTCTAAGTCTAGCAAAACTGGCATTTGCAGTGCTTGTGACCACAACCAACCCCATCAGCCAGTATCTGAATGTCCCAATACAGACAAAACAAGAAATTACAGTCTATCTAAAACTCTCTGTTTCCACTCTATAGTTCCTGGGACCTGAAGATTGGCATCCTTTTCCAAAAAACAAAGGCTGCCATTGCTGGCACTTTCTTCTACCCTTCCAGTTTCTGCCCTGATATTTGATTTAAACATACACTGACAATCTCATTTAAATCTCACAAACTGGACTCCATGATACGATTTTGGGACTAACTGTGGACAGGTAAAGAAATATTGTTTTAAAGTAAGTTTTCTCTGCGGAATACTCACATTTCCAAGACTAAAACAAGCGAACAGGATATGATACATTTTTGGAAGTACATGTTTGAAAGATAATAAATTCTAAGCTTGTAGAGATAAGCAGTCATTCAGGTCTATGTAAATAGGTGCGTTGTGGGTGCAGGTGCCCAGATTGTGCCTCTCAGCCAAAGCGGTGGCACCTCCAGGAAACTGTATTTAATTAAGGACAAAAACACTGCATGGCAGTGAGGAGTGAAGGAAAAAATGTGAGAAATATCCATGGTGCTGACACTAAGGTGAGGGAAGGAGGGGCTCCATGTGCCAGAGCAGAGGTTGCCTTGCAGCCCACGGTGAAGCAGGTTGCCCTCCTGCAGACCACGAAAGCACACCGAAGCAGATGTCCACACTACAGTCCATGAGGACCCCAGGCTGGAGCAGGCGGACATGCCCCAAAGGCACTGCAACCTCTGGAGAGCCCAAGTACGAGATTTTCTCCTGAAGGAAAAAGCAGCCCAGAGGATCCACACTAGAGCAGGATAAAAGTGTGAGGAGAAAGAACCATGGAGAAGAGCTGTTAAGGACTGACTCAAACCCCCATTTCCCATCCCTCCCTGCAGTGCTGTGGGACAGGGAGGTACAAGAGTCAGAAATGGAGAAAAGTTAACACATAAGAGAATGGAGTGGGGAAAGATGTTTCAGTTTTTGTCTTTGTTTCCCATCATCTAAATGTGTGTCAATTGGTAATAAGTGAAATTAGTTTTCCCCAGGTCAAATCTGTTTTGTCCATGATGGTAACTGGTAAGTGATCTCCCTATCTTTATACCAACCCATGTACTTTATAGACTTATTAGACTTATTTACCTCAGCCCCATTCTCTTCAGGAAGAGGAACGAGAGTGGCTGGATGGGTGTCTGGCACCCAACCAAGGTCAACCTACCATGTTAGGAGTAGCAAGGTTAGGTCTTTTCAATTCTGTATACACCATGCTCTCTTTCACTTTTTTTAGTTGTAAAAATTTGTTCCAGAATTGCATATCAATAAAAAGTATTTTATTATGCAACAGCACTATTACAGATCCTAGTTTTAAATAATGATACTGAATTCACCGTAACTGATCTGGTGAAACTGTCTTCTTTCCCTACAATTATCACATAGACTGACATAAGCAGCTTTGTGATACAAGCAGATATATATATATATACCTCACATGAATGATGCACTCTCTTCAACATCTCTCCATGAGACATTGTTTTGCCTTCTTCCTCTCTCCGAAGTCTTATTCTCCACTAAAGTGATGAAACTTAATAAGCTTTGTCGTTCAATCTTACCTCAGCAGAATTTGGTGGAGATACTAACTCATCCATGTTACGTTCTTTGTTACTTTCCCCCCAAACTTTTCCATTTTAAATTCTAATTGAAAACAACTACATAATGCCCGATAAAATGTCTCTTTATATAACATACCTCCAGCTTTCTCTGATATTTCTCACATTCCATTTGGCACTGTGAAAGATTCTTAGCTGTTTCTTGTTGCAGGAGTTGAACATGTTCAGTTTCAAAGGACTTTAACTTACTTTGGTGAAGAAGTTCAGCTACTTTGCTTTCTGTGCCAAGCTGCATTTGTCTGTACCTGAAAGGAAAATGAAAAAATAAGTTTTAATGATTCAAAAATAAGCAAACACAGAATATATGCTAGTTCTGTTCACTGCAGGTATAAATTTCAAGAACCAATACAGTATTTTGAAAGTTTCATAGGTATTAGTATGGTTATCTATGTAACTATTGTAACCTGTATTTGAAACATCATTAGGAAAATTCAATATTATAATGACAGTGCAACACACAATGTATGAAAAACTCAGTCTATGGCTTTCCTAAATATGTAGTTAATAATCAAATGACAATGACCTCACAGTATACCTTATTTTTCTTATTTTTAAAAATGTTAGATCAATGTGAATCTGTTTCTTGGCACACAAATGCATGTAGTGAAGTCTTTTCCTGGGAGAGATACTAAGGAAATATTTCCTCTCTTTAGCACCATGTGTTACATGTGATAGGGAGAAGTGGTATTAGGCATCAGTGATATCAATGGTGCATCCCTTGGGATATCATGAATATCAGCTACACTGCTTTTTCCTGCACCCAAAGACATGAAGAACTGTCAGACCACAATGGTGTATTAATTTCCACAGTCACTCAGAACCACAGGTCCTTCAAAAAACAGTAAAAATGAAGTATAACTTTGAGAAAATCACTACAACATAATTTTAAGTGACAGATAAATAATATTCTACTCAGAAATGGACTTCATCTATTTTACTCATTCACTCTACTTAACAGACAATCTCAAAAACGAGGTATAAAAAGGTTTGCTGATAGAATACTAAATCATTGGACTGTAGAAAATTAGGGTGAGGTGAAGAACAGCAGAAAACCTCATGAATCTTAGCATTAAATAAGATATGAAATTAAAGGAGATATATGCAAAGTAAATCACAGGTTTTAAAAATGCTCCTAACCATCTACATAGAGTGATGAACTCCTAACTGACTGTTTTCATCCATGACTGAGATCTTGGGATTATAATAGATAAATCCATTAAAACTTTGGTTCAGTTTTAAATAATGCTCAAAACTAGCATTTTGGGAATTACTGTAAAAGCAATAGAGAAAATACAGAAGTCACTGTGTCACTTTGCAATTCCATGTCGCTGCCTGCATTACTGAGTGCTGACAACCATCCTAGTACTTCACCTCACAAGGAATAGAGCGGGCAAAGCATCAGAGAAGGGTAGTTAGGACTGCCTTTGACAACCAGCAACATTGCACACTTACACAATCGCACTGTGTGGAATAAATTACTTCAGCAAGCTAGGACTCTACAGTTTGGAAAAGAGAGGGAAAAGGAAAAAATAGGAAGCCTGTAACATCATGAGCAGCATGGAGAACGAAAATAGGAGTCGACTGTATTTTCGAATAGATGAATGAGAAACCAACTAATGAGGCAGAATGTAAACAAATATAAGTTGCTATTCATACATGAAAGCTGTGAAATTCCTTACCATAAGATGCTGGGGATGCTAAAAATTAACACTTTCTCAAGAGAACACTGAACAACTTGCGGCAGAGAAATCCTTTGATAACTAGTAAGTGGAAGATGGTACTTCTCACACCGAAGCCACTTAACAACAAATGGTTAGATTGCCAGATGAACCTTTACTCTAACCCAGCATGGCTGTTATGTTAGTTGCCATTTGTCAAATTGCAGTTGCAACACAATTCCATTCTATTTAGCACCTTATCTTTAGGTGGGATTGAGAGTGTTTAACAAAAACAAGGGGATTACTTCAGATATTTTCCCTGAGGATTTCAGATGTAGGAATGTTTCTAAGGCACAAAGAGGAAGCAATTTTCACTGGAGTTAACTTGAATAGAACAAACAGGTGCCATTATGATGCCCCTGATAATCACTCTGAAGACATCTGTGTATGTGTAAACAGTCCAACGCATGAATGAGATTGTTCCCACACAGGCTGAGATTGGAAGTTCTGCTTACTGAGCTCATGAAAAGGTTTTTCTTTTAAAAACAATTTTCTTTTTCAATAGTAAGACATTTGTTCTCAGTGTTACTGCACTCAAACTGCTAAGTGCCAGTTACCTATCTAGATATCGACTACTACTGTCATTTTTGTTTGGGGACGCTTTTCAAGTGCTGATAATTTAAGTATTTCATCACTCCTTCCTGACTGTATGTTCCTATTTTCATTTTATGATACAAAAAAAAATTCAGTACTTTTGAATTCTCCATATTTTGTACATGACTGGCTGCAGACATGATACTAAATCTTTTCTGGTATACACATTGTTTACAATCCTGGGAAGAATGCTTTGTTCCAAAATGAGTAAGTCTTCACGAGGATACATGCCATCCAGCCAACACTGCAGTGAAACCCACAAATTTATTTAATTACTAGTCATATTTATCGACTCTAAACAACAAATTTGCACCTTCCACCTCAACACAAACAATACCTTACTGTCCACAGCTTCAGACCTTGGATTAGTCTGAGGTTCAATGATTTGTGCTGTACTGAGCTTCCACACCGGAAACAAACATAAACTTACGCAAAGCAGAAGTAGGTACTTCTCTGTATCTATTTTCTATACTTTCCAGAGAAGTCTGTAGCTCTCTGATGATTCTACTTAATCAACTGGGTGTTTCCAGAGCATGCTTCTCAACTCAGTCATGAACAGTAACTTCAGAAATTTATTTTTTTTCTGCTTTGTTTTGGAAATTTGAAGCAGCTTACATGTGCGTGATCTGTTTTGTACTGACAAGGTTACAAAGGGTCAGTTTTCTTTTGACTTTACTACACTGTTGATCGGACTAGTAACTCCTCCACCGTAGCACCATTCAGAGTTTCTTTGTCATATTTGCTTTTACCTGGCCAGATAGTATCTATCTCTGGTTTCTTGGCTACTATTTCAGCACAAGTGTGTGTGCATGTGTGTATAGAGTCATGTAACACAGTGTGCTGAAACACATTCCTTCATCTGCCTAGATGGTCTCTAAGGGAAAACAAAAGAAAACAAAACCACCCTATGCTTTAATACTACTATTACGGAATAAAACCCTGTGGAATGTGGGTCTGCAGGATTTTTCTCCATCAAGAAATTTTAGCAAACTTGATATAATGAAAGAGTAGAGATTTTAATCTCACAGAAGAATGAGGGTTGAGAATGAAAGGGAAATTACAGATTGAGCCAATGAAAAAGAATGGAAAAGAAAAAACATACGTAAGAATCATCTAGAATGAGGTTCCAGCTTCATTATGTCTCTGTGCCATTAGGCTGACCAGTCAATGATGCCTGAAGTGTGCTAACGCAGAGACACAATGGTTATAAAAAAAGTTATTTCTAGAGTAAAGTAGAAGATGGAGTACTCAGAGAGGGACTTACACTCTGGTTTGTAAGGATGGTTTAAAGATTTTTCAAATCAGAGGAGTTTGTTTTTGCAAACAGTGGATAATGAAATAATAATTCATCAAAATCTGCATAAAATGAGAGCAAACGGAAAGATTTCATGGTAAAATCATGCAGTGTGTATACAGAAGAAAGTATGGCAACCAACTGGTTTTTTTGAATGGAGGAACCACAAAACACATCAGCACAGCCTAACCTAATATTGATAATCAAAGATTTCTATCATATATGTATAAAGTGAGATTCACTTAGCATTTCCAACTTCTTAAATGGGATAGCAGCTGTAATGTTTTTAACTAACTGAAATAGACTCTTTTTTACCATTGTCTACCCCATTTACAAAACCCGAGATGTACAGCAGTACTCAAAAAGGTAATTGAACAATGAAGTACATTAGAAGACAATAAATTTGTAAAATGAAGCATCCCAGAAGCAGCAAATCCTAATGTTAAGCGTACTAATAAGAAAGAATGCCAAGCAAATACAAATAATATGTCTTCCAAAGGAAGTCCTACCAACATGATACAAAACACCAACCCTTTCTAATTTTGCAAACCTGATTATACCAACCTGAAGTTTTTTGGGATATATTTTAGAAATTATTTGCAAGTTTAAAAATATTAAGAAAACCCTGTAAGTTTTGAAATCATCCAAAGTCCACAGATGAGTCAGTTCCAGATTTAAGATTTTTAAAATAATTAGAATATACTCTTCTATTTGTACAAATGTCTGTGCTTTGTTTCAGTGCCAAATTTGCAACACAGCCCAAATGCTACAGACATTTCCTCCCTAACCTATTGCAAACCTAATTCCAGTCCCAACATGTCCTCTAATGTTCCTGCCCTTCTCCCTCTCTGTCCCAGCACCAGCCCTGATGTCTTCTGAATTCCAATTCTATTTTCATTCTTTATACACAGGACATCTGTTTTTCTTCTTACCTATGTTCATATCTTATTCAACTTCCATTCCTATCTTGTAGGATAGGAATTCTGGTTTTCTTTTGTCTCTAATCCTATGTCACCTTGTCATTTAGCATCCTTCATCAAATCCTACCCAGACTTCTTGTAATATGAAGTTCAAATCCCAGTTTAACTTTGTCACCTTCTGCAACTGAGTCTGGCTGTTAAGGCTTCCTCACTTCCAAAGATTCCCAAGCTAAGTACAAAAGCACAGAACTGAATTTTCCTTACTCTTCATTGTCCCACTTGGAGTCACTGGAGTAACAGTGGTCTAGATAGGCCTAAATTAAATTAAAGTCATGCCACAGACTGCACATATGCTTTCCTTACATGCAGCAAACTGTGAGACTCCAGTTCAAACACTGGCATTCAAAGGCTCTGGCTTCCACTGGTTCTCTTGTTGATCCTTGGTATTAAAAACTGGTTGGCTTCTTTCTGAGCAATCAAAAATTTCCCCGGAATTACATTCACACGCTACCCATTAAGTAACTGCAAATGTAGGAACTCTGATCCGTAGTTTCAAATGCTTTCATTGTTCAGTTTTTCCAGCACTGCACATAAGTCAGATGAGTTATATGTCTAGCTGGTTTCACAAACTGAAAGTCTGCTCTAATATTTACTACAAAATGAGTAAGAAAACTGTCATTCCTCATTTAAATACACATATTTTATGAAGATTTTCACAC